ATTAAGCTTTAGAGATAATGTGGCATCTCAAGTGGAACTGTGAAGCAATCATAACCCAAAGGCTGAGGACAAGTTTGATTTAAGATCCTACTACTTTCAGGATCTATTTTGTGACTAGGGTGCACCATACTTAACTAAACCGTTCAGGAAGCAAATTCGGCTACCTATTAAACACGTGACAGTTTCAAAATGTTCAAGATTCTCTGCCCAGCACTCACATTACTCAGCTGTCAAAGTAAAGGGCTCAGATATATGATGTGAAAATTACATTTTAACGAGGTGTCATGTGTGTTTAAAGTTCTTATTCATCACTACATAGCCACAGCTTTTACTGGAGCCACAAATGCATTTAATTAGCATATTATAAGGACAGAAGGTTCACCTTATCTGCCTTGTTAAACTGTTATGTGTAGGCTTTTCACTGTTGTTTTAGATTCTACTATCTTCAGCATTTATAAGAATGATTGCATTTACATAATTTCAAATGGCTTTCAAGAAAATGTGGATTGCGTTTGGGAAGCACAAGAGCAGGCAGCAGACGGTAGCTCTGTGTTCTCATCATCTGCTGTTCATACTGATTGCTTGATGTGTTTCTCTAAGTCTCAACCAATAGATTTTTAGGCCTGTTAGACATATTAATTTAAGGAAATTTTTGGAGCTGGGCTTCTCTGCATATTCTTATTATCAACCTGAACCTACTTCTTCCTTCAGTAGAAAATAGTGGAAAATATCTGTATATTTGAAAATGAAAGTTTACATTGTTCAGTGGACAGTTTAGAAACAAAATGGAAGTGAAAGAAAATACCTCAGATCTCCTATCTATTAATGAATAATGACCTCAGCACAGGTGGTTTGTGAGAGAGGACTCCACAGTGAGAGTCAGTCAATATCAGTCACTAAAGGCAAGTGAAGGAACCATTTGATTCCCCTACACCAGATGTATCAGGATAGCAGGTAGAATTTTAGAATTATGATTCCAACATGAGGATCACTCAAATAATCTGTAAAACAGCTAATTGGAGGTTTTTAATGTATATTTTACAAGAGATAGTCAATTGAAGATAATGAAGAATGTGTCCATAGTTTATATCATATTTTATAAGATAAGAGAAAGGCTCAGTTAAAAGTACATTTGAAGAAAATTCTAGATTTGATAGGTTTCTGCTCAGGAAAAAAAAAAAAACCAGAGGAAGCATGTTCACGTTTACTTTGACCTCAGGTGTTATTGCTTACAAGCATTTTTGATACAGGTATCCAAAACGGAATCTAAACTGCAGTAAGACCATGCCAAAGTACTAGCTTTTTAACTGAGCATTCATGAATGAAAACTGACACTTTTTCTTGAGATTATATCTACAAATTTAAGACAGGTGAAATCTCTCTCTTTGCAAAACAGAAAGATTCTTCATTTTCAATTAAAAAGAGTAAAAGCTGAATGTCCTGGCTTATGTTTGGAATTTGTTTCCTAAAGCTGAACTTTATTATTTCTCAGCATTTGCCACTTTAATAATATCCTTTTAACAAATATGGGCACTAGGACAAGTGGGCAAGATGGCTCATATTTTAACTCCCATAAGCAAATAAACAAAATTAATTGAATGGTATAATTTCCCTTTGTTCACAATTACAATGAGTATCATATATATGTTACACACATATACTTTTATTAACGTATGTTAAAAATATTTTTTGGCAAGTCTCTAAACACATATGGCTATTGTATCATCTTTTTCTTTAAGGAAAATTTAGAAGAACTAAGCTAAGAATTTGCTTTGCCCATCAAATCAAAACCAGGAATGCTAATGGATTTTAACCTATCTGTTGTCCTAAATAAAAATAATGCATGATCTTTCCAATAAAAAAATTAAAATGCTACTGCTCCTTATTTACTAACATCAAAAGGTGATTAGTTATTATGTATTATTTCTTTGGAGGCAATTAGAATTTACTCCGGATCCACAAATGACCCCAAATTGCCAAAGCAATCCTGAAGAAAAAGAACAAAGCTGAAAGCATAACCCTCCCAGATGTTAGGCAAAGCTATTATAATCTAAGCAGCATGGTATTGGCACAAAACCAGACATATAGATCAATGGGACAGAATAGAAAGCCCAGAAAGAAACCCACACATTTATGGTCAATTAATCTTCAACAACGGAGGCAAGAATATACAATGGAGAAAGGATAGTCTCTTCAACAAGTGGTGTTGGGAAAGCTGGATAGCCACATATAAATCAGTAAAGTTAGAACACTCCCTCACACTATACACAAAAATAAACTCAAAATGGCTTAGAGACTTAAATATAAGACATGACACCATAAAACTTGAAGAGAACATAGGCAAAACATTCTCTGACATAAATCGTAGCAATGTTTTCCTAGGACACTCTATCAAGGCAATAGAAATAAAAGCAAAAAAATAAATGGGACCTAATCAAACTTAAAAGCTTTTGCACAACAAAGGAAACCATAAACAAATGAAAATACAACCTACAGACTGGCAGAATAATATTGTATATGATGCAATCCACAAGAGCTTAATTTCCCAAATATACAAACAGTTCATACAGCTTAATACCAAAACAAACAAAACCCAAATGCTCAACATCATTAATTATTAAAGAAATGTAAATCAAAACTACAATGTGGTATCACTTCACACCAGTCAGAATGGCCATCATGAAAAAGCCTACAAATAAATGCTAAAGAGAGTGTGGAAAAAAGGAAACCCTCTTCCTCCTACACTGTTGGTGGAAATGTAAACTGGTATAGCCACTATGAAAAATAGTATAAAGCGTTCTTAAAAAACTAAAAATAGACTTACCATATAATCCAGCAATCCCACTCCTGGGCATATATTCAGAAAAGACAGAAAATCTAATTCAAAAAGATACATGCACCCCAACAGCAGCACTATTTACACTAGCCAAGATATGGAAGCAACCTAAATGTCCATCAACAGATTACTGGGTAAAAAATGTGGTATGCAGATACAAGGGACTATTACTTGACCATAAAAAAGAATGAATTATTGCCATTTGCAGTAAGCAACATGGATGGACCTAAGAATTAGCATACTGGGTGAAGCAAGCTAGACAGAGAAGACAAGTATTATGTAATATCCCTTATATGTGGAATCTAAAATTATAATACAAATGAACTTATTTACAAAACAGAAAGACTCATAGACATAGAAAATAAACTTATGGTTTCCAAAGGGGAAAAAGTTGGGGGGAAGAGATAAGTTTAGGAGTATGGTAACAGATACACACTACTCTGCATAAAACAAATAAACAACAAGGATTTACTGTATAGCACAGGAAACTATATTCAGTGTCTTGTAATAACCTATAATGGAAAAGAGAAAAAATATATATAATTGAATCATCTTGCTGTATACCTGAAACTAACACATATTGTAAATCAACCATACTTTTAAAAAAAAAAGGAAAGCAAAGAAATTACTCCAGTTCCAATTTAAAGTCAAAAAAGGCTAAGAACTACTCACCAATAGAATTTTCACTACCAAAATACGAATTTTGGTTTAACAATATCACAGATCTGAAAGAACTGTGTTCCCCAAATACCCCAGATGATTTACTCTTGCTTAGGGTTTTAACTGAAGGTTGTACTGGATTGAGAAACCTTACCTGTACAGAGGTGAGCCAGAAACTGCACTTGGTCTAGGAGATATTTGAAGGCTTATTAAGGAGAAGTTGTTTTTGCTGCTGTTGCATATTTAGGCTTCTCCTTCCACAAAAGCAACTCAACATAATATCAGCATTGCTGGCCATGAAAATAATTGCTGTGACTTTGACAAAAGCCTCTCAGGGATTAGAAAAAAAATGCCACCCAATTTGACATTCTATCACAGTGAAAAGTGGAAAATCATTCATTCATTCATTCATTCATCCATTCATTCATTCATTCAACATAGAGTTATTGAGCCTTTATTTTCTATATGCCATATATTACACTAGTGTTTAAGAAGGCAGAAATAACAATCAGATGAAAAATAACAAAAAGATGGGTAAGGCAAGATTATTAGCTATATTGCACTTAGAATCTAGTTGTATAAGATATGTATATAGTGAAATACGTTGGTAAGCAGAACAGCATGCTAGTAAAAATACAGTAAAAGTAATGCCAAAAACAAGAAGTATTAACTTTAAGGAAAAATTCAACTTTGAATTCCTATGTTACTATCAAAATTAAGACACTTGTATCTTACTTTTCCATTATACTTTTTCATGAGGAACAATATTACTGCTACTTAAAATAATTTAACTTCTAAACTAAGATAATTGTGCTCAATTGTGTAAATAAAATTGTAAAAGATAAAGCAATCTGACTGTCTTTAAACAACATTAAAAGCAAACAGT